GATTTAGAATATTAAGCTTAATTAATTATTTTTATTCAAAGTCTTTTTGATGATCAATAAATCAATACAATCTAATAGAAACATAATTCTTTCTTCTTAGAATAGTAAAGTAATTTTAAGCAAACAACAAATAAAAGAAGATAATTAATTGATTAAAAGAAAGACTTCAAAAGGATATCCATTTAAAGAGCAAATCAACCTTCAAAAAAGTAAAAACCATCTAAATGAAAGAAATTCCATGGTTAGTTTAGAATCAATTTCTAAGTTCTAAACTTGTAAAAAAATAATGAGTCCCAATATTATGATCTCAAATAGGAAACTTTTTATTTCAAGTAGGAATAGTAAAAAATGTTAAGAGTCAGTAAGCTAAGAACCAATTTTATAATAATAAGGTAAGATAAAGACAAATCAATATGGATATCGAGTAATGATTAACAGAACTAACAGGATGTCGACTATGTAGATAGAAGAGGAGGTGAAGTAATAATCTCCTTAATTTAATACATATAAAGATCCTGAAACATTTACTGATTGGGTTGAAAAGATTTATGGAAAACAATGGTTTTATTGAATCTGCCAATAAATGAATAAATAATTTGACAATAATAATTTGTTTATAATATTAGATATAATATATTCCAGATAATTTTATAATTAAATTACGAAATAAAACGAAAATAATCATTTAGATATAAGGTAAAGCAATCAAGTACATATACTCTTTTTATAATAATTACAAATTTCTTCAGCCTAGGCAATTAAGGTAGGATTAATGATTTCTTCTTACATGGCATTTTTAAGAAATTGAACAAATAAATTAAATGTGCTTTCTCTAATTTTCAATGATTGATGTATAACTTTTAAATCATTAGAGTTGTAGATGTGTTGATCTTTTAAAATAAAAGTAACTATTCTATAGAGATGTAAATTCATTTAGTAATTAGCATTCTTAAAATATTCTGTATAATTTTCATTATCTTATAATTTTAATTAAACCCTTGCAATAACAAGATCTACTTTTTTCTTGCCAATTCTACTTTCAATGGAATGTTATTAAGTTAGATTTTTTCTTAGCCTATACCAGATATCTTCATAATCTTAAATGATTAAAGCATTTAAATTAAGATTTTTAATAAGAGAAAAAAAGTTATCACGAAAGGAATCGATCCATTCAGTAGCAATAATATATTTGGAATGAATAGTCCATAAATCATTTTTAGTAAGTGTTGGTAGATGTTAATGAGTTAGATATCGCAAAATAAATTAAGAATGTCTTTCTAAAGCAATAATAGGATAGCTTTGCATTCTGCTATCTCTTTTTAATAATTAAACATATTTCTTTTATTAGACTTGCAACAAAGAGGATTATTCTCCATAATAATCAAGTAAAGAATCTTGATTAATTATATAGCTTCTATAACCATCCATTCTAGATGTTACTAACTCTATTTATTTTTCTTATATATTTAATTATCGCATAGACTCAATTAAATGTTATTTAAATAGAGTAAAATGAACATTGGTTAAATACATTCCCTTATGAGATGATCTCATTTCAGTTAATACTTAATCATTAGTTTATTCCCAAGCCATTAATTAAGATAATATCTTTCCTAATTTTCTAGCTTGTTATTGAATTTCAATTCCTATGAAATATGGTGCCAAAGAATTATCTTAGAAAATCCTTTAATAACTACTCTAAGTTAATTATAGGATTGCATCAGGAACATCTTTTGTATTTAATTTTTCTGTTCTTTAGTTATATATGATAGCAAATGGAGTATTACTATTAATTATACAGTATCGATATTATTCAATCATAGAACTGAATTCAAATACATAATCTAATTGACATTTATTCACTTTTAAAAAACATGTCTAAATTTATCAACTATTTATTACAATTAAATAGTTCTTGAATTAATTAAATTCTTTATTTTTGAGTCCTAAATCTTTATGTTTTTCTTTTAATTGTTCTAGATTATAGAAAATTGGTTTTCCCATTATATATTCTAAGAAAGTCTTAAATCTTTATTTGTATCTTTCTAAATCATCAATCTCTATATACGTTTAGAATACTTACTTGAGATCATTTCATGTTGTATAGTATAACTATGAAATTCTTCATTCAATTAATCTACTATTTCATCTCCTCCTATTTTATAATAAAACAAACTCATATCATCATCTCTAACACTTCTTCCACTAATATTATTAACTGAGGTTCGATTTATAGGTAATAATTTTTATTATGGAATCACTGATTTTCTAGTCTCAAATGAATAGTGTCTGGGAGATTAGATGTTATGAAATTAATTCTAATTCTATTGTACCACACTAGGTCTATAAATAGGAGATTGGAAATTTGTGATTGGACATTTCCCAACATTTACAACAAATCTTTTATTCATTATATCCGGAGATGGTAATTCTAATTTTGGCAGAGTAGGATGTCGTTTAGGTATTGATTCTTTTCTAGGAGACTTGTTATGAGAAAGTATTTGTTGCTATGATTCTGACAACGAATTAACATAGTCAGCAAATGACTGTCTTTCCTTTCCATTATCTTTAGCTTTCTTTATTATTGTTCTCTATATTAAGTACCCTTTTTTAGGATTTTGAAAATTTAGTGATATTGGTTTATTCATATATTAAATATATTCATATACAATCAGTCGAATTTTTAAAAAGAGATTGTTTCGATAAAAAATACTTAAGATCATATTTAAAAACTCTGATCATCTTTTTTATATAATATACATTTTCCGATGGTTTGAAGCAAATAGCATCACTAATAGGTTATTCTTTAATTTCCTCTTATAAAAGAAAATTCTAGGCCACTCTATTAGTACTTTTTTAATTAAATAGATATTGACAAGATTATAAAGGATCTTTCTTCTTCCATCTCTGTGTAGATTATATTTGATCAGGAACATCTTTGGAATAGATAGGTCCTAATGGAATTTATTGCTTATTTTGAAATTTATGTAAAATTAACATAGCATGTTTAAAATCTATAATCTTATTAGTAGGACGATGGATCTTACCAAAGCTATGACCTTTTTTATATTCAGTAGGCATTTTTTAGGCCATAACTTTTAAATCTTTTCGTTTATTCTCTAATTCCCATTTATTTAGATTTCCATTCTGCAAGAGTACATCCAGATCATATTCATCTTCAGAATAGGAATTCTAATCTATAAAGCCTTCCTTCATTTTAGCATCTAGAAGATATGCAGATTCCCCAACATTTCTCATTCCTTTACCTGGTTCTTCATACTCTCCTTAAGCAAACTTTTCATGATAATATTTTGCTTTGTTCATATCCTACTTATAATAATAACACAATGATATTTTGTCATATGTAAAGATCTCATAATTAGTATCATTTATAATCCATGATAATTTTAACATCTTTTTTAAATAAATAAGACTCTTATCATATTATTATAATTTAATGCATATTTTTGATATATGTTTATAGGCTATAAGTTTATATCGATGACAATGATTGCCTTACATGTTACATATTCTTAATACTTTTTTCCAATTCTAATATGCTAACTTCTCTTTACCATATATTTCTAAAATCATATTATGTACATAATAGCCTATTAAAAAGAGATTTAAACATCCTATTTTCCATAATATTCTGATCATTCTTTCTCCAAGTGGAGATATTTGATTGATTTCTTCACTAACAATCTTCTCATTAATTAATTATAATATCTATTAAATTTTATCAATTAGCTCTTGTAATTTAAGATTATCAAATACAATAGACTATAATTTACCAGTATCCTTTCCTCCGAAAAATGTTTGTTTGTATTTTTCTGGATTAAATTTCTAATAATTAGCCTCTCCAGGTTAATATAATTTTTGTAATTGTTACATTTATTATCTTCTATGTTAATCTTTGTATTCCTACATTCCATTATCAGCCTAATATAAAACTTAAATATGAATATTATTTGCTTTTAATTCTTCAACAACATCATTTTTAGTTAAAATATCTCTTCCTTTTATATGTCTAAGATTGATAGGATCTCTTAAAAAGAGATAATCATCAAATCCTTACCATCTAAGTAATGATCGCCAATATTGCTTTACAATAAATTTCTCCTATTATTCTGACTAAACACTGAAGGCATCTTATTATAATGAAAATTTATGATTTTTGAATAAGTTTCCAAGATTTCCAGGAGGAGAATCAATCTTAAAAAATCTTTAATAAGATTGTGATACAACTGGTCTTCCTGAATCCCGAGTTGCTGCAGTTCTTTTTGTAATTGGTTATTGTTAGTTATACTATTCTCGTTTTTCAGACAATTAATCTTCATTATCCTTATTAAGCAGGTTACGTAAATCTTTCATAATATATGTTATTTATTTTAAATTATATTATTCATTAAAAATTAATTTCTTATCCTTTTTTAGTGGTTACTCTTTTAAAAAATTGGGGTGCAATAACACCTCCAATTCCACTTGATAACACTACTCCATTTTTTGAAACATAGAATTCAATACCTGCCTTCATAGCTTTTTCCATATCCACCTAAATGATGACTTCACAAGTGTTTCTCATTCCACTAATTACTGCATCATCTCCTGGTAATCCTACAGCAAAATGAATATGCTATCTTGCCATTCTATTTAATCCAGAATCTTTAATTAAGTCCCATGCTTTAAAATATGTACCATGCACAATAACAGGAAACTGTGATGGGTCAACTATTTTTTCCAAAAGTTCTTCTTCATTAATTTCAATTGTGTGACCTTAGACACATCTTATATATAATTATCCATCAATTTCTTTAAGTTCAAATCTCTTTTTGTCATTATTATCAACAACATTTCTGATACTCTATAAGTTTGCTTTAAGTTTTGCCATTGTTGGCCAATTAATTAAATCTTAAACTAAAACGAAACCATCTTATCTTATTGGAATTCCTTCTTTTTGAGCACCATGTCTCAACAAATAACTCATTGTTTTGGATTATTAAACTAAAGGGGAATCTCTTTTTTTTTATTACATGTAATTCTTTCTTTCTTTTTTAATTAATTAAATTATTCATTAGAACAATGAGAGTTTAAGCTACATCATTTAGATTACCTGCTCTTAAATTATAACCTAAAGACTCTCAATTTAGTCTGAGTTATGGTGATAATAACTAATCAAGTTCTTCGATGATAAAATATTAGAGTAACCCTTAAAGATATTATGACCCATCTCCTATTAAGAAAAGAGTAAGAGGAATGACAATTGCTATATATAATAGCTAAGAGAAATTAAAAACTGCAGAATTTCGTTATGGAAGTGATTTAATTACTTAAACTCAACCTCTCAACTAAAGTTCTTCAGTTGCTAATACTGTTCGTAAATATAGAAGCAAACTTAAATAATTAATGTACTAGCCTCCAAAAGAAGATGGAGGATTATCTCGAGATCCAAGAATTTATTCTTTTAAAGAGCCTACTGCTACTATTCGATTAGATCGTTTAACTAATGATCGTGCTGATTAATAATTGAAAGACAAAATTACTTAATTAATGAGCAAAGTGAAGTTACTCTTATCTACTTAACATTTTTATCAGGAACCGCATCAATAGGAGACTTTCCAAGTTACAATGGTTCGGCTTAAAGATGAATATGATTGCTTATATTAAGACTTTAATGATTACTATGTACAAAATAAGAAAGTTGATAATTAAGTTACATCATTATTTAATCATATGGAAATGATTAAAACCCTTCTACAACCAAAAAGACCTATAATGACTAGAAAAGAATCTATTATTACCTTTGATGAAGTTCCTAAAGAATCTACAATTTCAGAACCATCAGAAAAAATTTAAGAAACTCCAAAATTATCTTAAATAGAAGAAATACCACTTCCATAACCTTAATTAACTCCAGTCATCTCTTATGAAGAACCTCACGAAGAAAGTGGATTTACTCCTCTTACATCAATATAACTTAATGAAGATTAGCCACCTAGTGATTTAGAAAAGGAAGATATTATTAATAATAATAGTCCATGTAGTCCTAAAAAGAAAAGAATCAAAAATAAAAGAAGTCCTTAAAAATCTTAAAAATCAATTATTTTATAACCCTCTGTTTAAGATCTCTCTTTATTAGATTTACATCCACAATCTTCATAAAAATAATAATTGAGTTCAAGATCCAAAGTTCCTTTAGAAGATATTCCTTTAAAATCTGTAAGAAGTACTTAAAGTGATCAATTACCTGAAATAGAAAAATAAGATGAAACTCCATTATCTGAGAAAGCTCCATTAAAAAGATAAATTAGTAATCTTGGATCTCTCAATAAAAGAAGAAACACAGTTCTCGAAAATAAATAAGGGAGAAGAACTTAAAAAGGTGCTGCAGCTATTTCTGAATAAGATGATAGTTAATCTGAATAAGGTGATACTTAAAATTAATAAAATGAAGAGCTTACTGAAAATTAAGAAGAAGAATAATCAGAAAATTTAACTAAAAACTATTATTATGATAGCCTATTAGATAAGTTAATCTAATCTGAAAATATTTACAGATTTCCATACTATTAAACATGGGAATTTCATGAAAATTAAATTATTTAGGGCATCATTTTTGGTGAATTTGATTTGTGATTTTAATAAATGTTTATCATTTTCTAATCTTTTTAGTTACTCTTTTCTCTTATTCTAAAATATCATCATTGCTTTAGTTTTTCTTCCTTCTTTATTTTGTCTTAATTTCTCCATATTTTGCTTCATATTCTCTTTTTCTAATTTCATACTCTTTTTATAAAGCTTAGTTTCTTTTTTAATATTCTTCCTTTTTCTTTTCATCTAATTCCATCCACATTCGTCTATATAATTTATTATTTATTCAATACGCTGCTATTTGTGTTATCTCAGATATCTTGGATGCAGGATTGTTTTTCATTATTTGTTATCTCTCATCTCCCAAAAAGAGAAAATAAGCAGTCAATGGTTTCTTTGGTGGGACTTCTTTTATCATTTAAGTTTAGTTTACTTTAAAATAATTGTTTTTTTTAAGTGATATTTAGTTCAACCAATTAAGTTTAATAAAAACATAACTAAATTAATTTAGTGTAGTTTTATAATTTATTGATAACTCAAAATAATTTATATCGATAAAATTTTACAATCATATATCATGAGATAAATCTTCTTGATCTGTTTAAGTTATTAAGAATTTTATCTATCTTCGAATTGGAACTAAGTCTTGATATCTATTTAGTGGTTTTATTATGTTCGTATTGAAGTTCTCGAAGGATTTCTTTTTACTGCTCAATTTATTATTATAAATGTATTTTGTGTTTCTAGAGATTTTCAATAGTACTTTTGGTTTAATTCCAATGATTACGAGATTCGGTTGTATTTGATCTTTAGGTACAAGTACTTTTTCTCATAGCAGAATTAGGTTTACTATTACTACAAGAGAGATCCATAGAAGGTTATTCCTAAAAATCAAGTCCACTTTCTTAGGTCTTCATTCTAGATTCAATATCATCAGAATCATCAAGATAATTAGCTATTTATTCTTCATTAATTAAAATTTCATATTTATCAACAATGAATTGAATAAGAGCAGCCAAATATTATGAATATTAATTATCTCCTGATCTAAGATTATCGATAGCCATTTCAATATTTTAGGGATGCATTTTTTAAATGTTAACCCTATAATTTTAAACCAACTTAATTATCTTTTAAGGTTTTTCTAATAAAGCCCATATTTTATATTGATTCCATTTCTAACAACATTATATATTTGAGAAATACATTAACATTGATAATCCAAGGTTCGCATCCTTCAAACAATTACAATAGTTTTCTGAAATTAATCCATATATCAGTTTGCTATCTCAATTTGTAATTAGCGAGAGCTGTCAAAAATGGTACTCTAAATTTATCAATCATTTCTGTCATTATTTAACTATATAATAATTTATTGTTTTATAATCATCCATGTAGTTCTTTATGCAATAAATTCAAAGCATCTGAGTACTTATACATTTATTTTGCATAAGTTTATTTTGGTTATGCCGTAAGATTTTCAAACACTTATTTCTTATTAGTCTCATTTAAATTAATAGTATTAGCATTTCTGACATATTGACTTATCTTTGGTTGAAAAGTACACTCCTTCAATTCATTTTCAACATCAGATATACGTAACTTTTACAATTTAACTTACTTCTGTTCTTCATACTGTTAACATCGCTATAAGAAATGGCCTTCATTATATTGAAAACATCTTTTAGAGAAGATTTATGGTTTAAATGTACATTCAGCCCATTCTTCATCTTCTAACCTTTACAATGTAGATTTAATCTGTTATTTTTACTTTTTTAAAGGAGATTTAGATCTAGAAGGTGTGAGAGATCTTGCTTTATAATCTGAATATTTCCAAAAAAAGAGCTAGAAAATATGAGATATCTAAATTTTACATGTTCTGGTATTGGCTATTCGTTAATAACTTTATATTGTTACATAATTAAATTGTATACATTATAATTTGATAACTCTATAAGATAAATACAATAGTTAGAATGAAAGAAAAGTTTATCAAGATAGGAACTTAATCTATTTTGAAAAGTTATGATTTTTTATTTCTACATCAATAGGATTTCTAGCTGATGAAAAATCTTCTTGATCTCCGAATTCAAGACTTATTTATTATTACACTTTTTTTAATATTTAAAATATAGAATACTTTGATGATCAGTATTGTATTTTCTATTGAATTCTCGACTGAATCCATTACTTAATTCTTTTTAACTATATTTTGCATGACTTATTTTTCTTTCTAAAAAGTCAAGTATTTTCCCAGACCTATAATTCCCTGGACTGGGACTTAAACTGGATTTCTTGATTTACTTATTCAAATACTAATTTTAGCATCGCTGGACTCATATTCTCATTAATTGAAATAAAAACAGAACCCTTGTCTTCTAATTCTACTTAATCTGGAGTAGGATTCTTTTATTCCTCTTTTTATCTTGATTTTTCTAACTATTAAATTGCACATGACTATTATTCCATTTCTCTAAATCCCTCAGGAGATGTTTTAATTATAGACTTATTTCTTATTTCTACATAAACTCGCCATCCAAAATACATTAACAATAAAAAAAGAATTGAATTCACAAATAATACTGCTATTATTGCTGCCTAATAAATTTAATAGAAATTTATGGTTTTCTCTATTCTTAAAACTGTATACAATTCTAAAATCACTGAACTCATTATCTTAAACAACAATAATACCATCCCTCTTTTCACTAATCTTCCAATATAATATTTTTTATCTCTTACTTAATTTATTCAAAATTCAAACACATTTATATTATCTCATAATGATTTGCACTCGTCTAACAATGATGGCAAAACTAACAAATTATGAATTATTTGCAATTGGAGCAATCTTATTCAATATTCAACAGTCCTTATATTACAATTTTAGTACTTCGAAAATGCTTCAAATGTCTTAATAATAATCCAATCAATAACAATACTACACATCCTAATCCAATATACTAATTAATTACATATAAGGCATACTTCATAAAATTTTAGAATAGCCAAATATATGCTTTCAAATAATATAACTATGCACTCTCCAAACATAAAATAACGAGTTATTCTGCATACTACTATTTACAATTATCTAAAATCTTTCTAAACAGTTATTCTACTCTTCCATAAGTATTTACTCTTTTTTTTCATTTATATATAATATAATCCAAATCACTAAGAATGAATAATTATGCTTTTATTAATTAATCTTAAAAAAGATAAAATATATCCCTTTTTAAAATCTTCATTTAGATATATATATTTATTATAATTATTTTCACATCTTCAAATACTTGCTAATTACTTTCAAAAACTAAATGTTGATAGTTGCCTCTCTCTAATTAATAAAAGAACTAGTTAAAAAATTTTATAAAATAATTTATGACATATTTCCAGAAACATGTTCTAAAAAATGTAAATAATATGGCCAAAACTAAATTGGTAAGATATACTAATCTAATTATTAAATATATAAAGCATTTATATATCTGTGCAATTAACTGACTTAGAATATTTGTCATTATTGAATATAGGTTAATTATAAATTATAAGATATGATTGAAAAATAAATTTAAACGAACTTACTAGATGTAAATCAACTCATTTTACATCATCTAATTCAAATAATAGAAAATGATTTATAAATTATAAAATAAAATGTGGAAATTGAATTCGCAAAATAAATTTTCACACAAAAATAGTTAATTTATTAAGATTGTTTGATTGAAAATATTAAATTTATATTATGAAGTAAAAAACAAAATGTTATATAAATTCAAGCATCATCTAGCCATTTAATTCTTTTTCCATCTTCCCAGATTCCATCTTTGATTGTTCCGTCATTAAGATAATATTTAGCATTTCCATGTTATTTACCATTCTTCCATCCTCCTTCATATCTTCTACCATCAGCCCAGTAATAAATACCAAATCCATGTTTCTTATCATTTAAATAAGATCCTTCATACTTTCTACCATCCTACCATTAATAGACACCTTTTCCATTCATATTATTATCTAGCCATTCTCCTGTATATCCTCTTCCATCTGCCCATTTATAAGTTCCAAATCCATTAATTTTATTATCTTTCCATTCTCCATCATAATAAGATCCATCTGCCCAATCATATCTACCTTTACCATGCTTTTTACCATCAACATAATCTCCAGAATATTTTGATTTATCCTACCCTACCATAAATAACTTTAATTTTACAAGTCTCTGTCCCTTTTCCATGTTATAAATCATCTCTCCATTCTCCTTCATACATAGCTCCATTTTAATGTTTATATACACCCCAACCATTAGCTTTATCATCCTTCCATTCTCCTTCAAAAACATCTCCATCTGCATGATAAAACTTACCATGTCCACATGCTTTATTATCAACCCATTGACCCTCATATTTAGCACCATCTGGCCATTTTTATATTCCAAATCCATCTCTCTTTTTCTCTTTCCATTCTCCTTCATAAATCGCACCTGATTAAAACCTATTTTCTATTTTTCTTTACTTATATGGAGGATTTTTCACTCTATTTGGATCTTAGAGTGGTTATGCATTTGCTATTTCTTCTTTAAAATACTACTATTTCATATTAGCACCTGCTTTTTCTTACTTTTTCTCTTTCTATTTTTTATGCTTCTTCCAGTTTCTTTGTATTTTTATTGCAGCATCTCCTTATGAGATTTTTTTTTATTTCTTAAGACTATGATCAGTTTTCTCTACTTATTTTTATTCTTATTGATGATCTGATTTATCAGTTTTCTCTGACTTGTCTTGCTTCTCTACCTTTTTCTTAGGTTTCTTTTTGATATTGATTTCCTAAATAGATTCTATAGAATTATGCTAACATTAGCATCCTTTACAAGTTTAACCCATTATTAATAATATAAATGAGTGATCTAAAACATTCTAAAGCAAGTTGAGAACAACAATAAAATTATATTAATTATATAGTTAACAATTTAAGTAATTCAATACACACAAAATCTATTCAAAATATATCAAGTTTAACCACTTATACAACTATGTTTATTCATATCCAGGATTAGTTAGGAATTTAGTTTGAATTAAAAAATTAATAGCTTCTTCATTCAGCACAAATTTAATAGATTATTCAATCAATGCAGATTCATTAAATTTTCTCAACAAAGAAATTTTAATAATTTTATAGATTTCTTGTTATTCATATTTCAAAAGTAACCAGTTCTTTCTAAACGTTATACATAAATAATAGGATTTAGAAATATATTTAAAACTTATTAATTTAAAAATAAAGGTTGTTATGAGATATAGTGCAACCTATTTAAAATTCGAAACGAAAAAAGATCTTTTATTACAAATACAATAATTTGAAAAAATATTTTAATTAATTGATTTAGATGGAGAAATCAATGATTATTAATACTAAAATTTAAAGATGGAAATAACTTGAATGAATAGAAAATATATTTCTTTGAGCTTATCTAAAAATATTATTAAGTAGTTGCGTTTATGTGTTTATCATAAATCGTGTTTAGTTTGATGTATGAAATTTCTCATTATAGGAATGAAAAACAATTATAGTTGATTTGAGTAGAATAAAATCAGAAAAATTTTTGATGTCTCATCAATAGTGTTAAATTGTTAAGGTTCTAATAAACTCTAATATATTTAGAAAATGTGAAATTTCTGATTTGTTTTGAGTATTTGATATTATAACAAATCTATAAATATGAAGTTATTCATTTTTTATATGAGTTTTTAATAGCTTAATTATTTGATAGATTAAATGGTTGACAATTAGTTTTTTCTTGATGTTTATTGTAGTCATATTGTTCATGTTTTTTAAAAAGTTTCTGTTCCACTAATTATTATTGATCTTTTTTCTTATTATTCATATCAACTTTAAGCATAAAAGATTCCAAACCATAAATTTCAACTTATTTAGTAGTATCAATTGGTTTTTTATTGATTTATGGTTTAAATGTACATTACTTCAATTATTAATCTTCTTACTATCTTATTTTAGTAAAATAATTACTTTTTTAATTGAGATCTTTTTTATTCTCTATCAGTTTAATATTATTTGATTTTTTCATGGCAATCATCAAAACTATATTGGGAATGCATTTATGAATATTTCATAGAAGTTGAAACACTTGGATAAAATGAGCATTCTTTATCAGAGTCATCATATTTCTATATAAAATATTCAAATTAATAAACCTCCTTTAATAATTATTTTCTATAATTTCCATATTGATTTTTAATTAAATCTGATAGTGTTCTATCAACAGCCATTTCCATAGATTTTGGATTTAAATCTGGATTAAAATTTAATCGACTAATTTCTTCTTGTTTTCTTTCTTCAATATTAGATTGCCTTGTTCTATATTCACTATAAAGTCTATCAAACAACGAATCTTAAGAAATCTTTCGATTAGCTATAAATTCACTTTATTTGTTTAATTTAGGTCTAAAAGTATAATCTTTATAAGCTTTGCATTCTAAATCCATATTCTTTTCAAGTTGCTTTTTCTAGAATTCTTCTTATCTCTAATTAAAATCTCCTTTAACTATTTAATCATTAATTTATTAATTAGTTTATGGTTGAAAGTCATAAGGAAGATCATCCTCATATATAATATTTTATTTTCTTATTCCATCTTGAATTAATCTATCAACAACATTCAAACCATCCTATTTATTTTTTTCAGCTAAAATTTATGATTATAAATTAATCCTAGGTTTAAATAAGTCTTCCTCTTCTCTTAGTTATTTTGCTTTCAAATAATCCATCAATGCCTTTTTATCCTACATTACTTATTAATATCTTTCATATAAAGGAGCTTAATCACAATACGGTTTAGGAGCCTTATTTATAGGTTCTTCTTCTTCCTATTAATTAATCATCAATTTTAATTCATCAATATGTGCTTATCTTTCTTATTCTAACATTTAAAGTCTTTCATAAATTGGAATTCCTTCAAATTTAGAATATTTTATTTAGGCAAGCAAATTTGTTTATTCACTTAACTCTGGTCTAAATGATAACTCAGACAACTTAAATTATTCATATTTTTACCATCTTTTTTTCTTATTCTAATTTTAAATGCTCTCTCTCTTCTTAGATGATAGTTTTAGGTTCAGCTAATTTATCAAAATATGTCTGTTTTTTAGGCTCTTTATTTTTTAATAAGTTCTATTTCATCACCTATAATTTATCCTATTATATTTTTAAAATTTCTGGTGTTTGTCTACTAATTTAACTTATTTTGCTCTCATTTGTTATTTACGATTAGCTTTCTGAATATTCTTCTTTACCAATGCTTGGTGTTTCTAATAGAGATCTATCGACATAAACTGTTTCTAGATCTCCTTCTTCTATCATTTTCTTTCTAAACTCTCTCTCTTATTTCAATCTTTACATAATTTCTTACCTTCTATTCTCGTTAATCATTTTTAATTTAAATTATATTACTAAAATAAAAATACTTATTATAAAACTAGAAAGAGTAATTTAAAACTTTCATATACTAATTACTGAGATTATTCTCTCAAGTATCTCAACAATTTTCATAATATGTTAGTTATCTTATTAATTTTTAATCTTAAATATTATTCTTCATTTAGATGGTGAAATTATTATTAATAAATAATTTAATTATTTAAATTACAACAGAAAAATTTATAAAAACATATTAGTTTATTTATAAATATTAGATTTAGTAAAATAAATATGTCAAATTATTTTTTATAATAAATTTAGTTATTATTATTGAAATTAATATCATTCTTAGATTATAAAACTTCATTTTTAGAATAAGTTGAATATAAAATCATTTAAAATTTAATTTCGATTCAAACAGTGTTTTATTCTCATTTTAAGAAATTAGAATAAATAAAATTTTTTACTACTTTTCATGATAGATCTCTGAAATAAAATCAATTTTAAATTTAAATGAAATTAGTAAAAATAATATAATCATCTAAAACGAGTCATTGGCTATTTTTAAGTTCTTATGACAACAGATCTTCCTCTAATAACTCCTTTAGTGGGCTTTGATTCAGTTTTTCTTTATTATTCTTCTTCTAAAGTACTTTCTCTAAAAATGACTAAACCTAACAACTTTTCATGTTATTTAAGTTATTTTATAAATCCTTCATTTGGACAGATAACAGATCTTTTAGTCTTAACATGTTGAAAGGATTTTGCAAAAGTCCATTTTAATGATCTCATAATATAATAAATAACTATGGCTGCAGATCTAGATACTCCAGCAGCACAATGAACTAAAATAGGTCCTCTTTTTAACCATATTGACATAAATTCATAACATTCATTAAAATGTTAAGATAAATCATAAGATGGATCATCAATAGCATCAACAACTTTATGTATTATCCCTTGTCCTGGTTCAATATTTAAATCCTTAGCAACAGTCAATACTGCAACAATTTGATGTTTGAGTTACCACTTTTTATCCAATGCTGCATAAAAATCTCCCAAATATAAAGTTCCATTTGTAAAAGTATTTTCAAGAATTACATTAGCACAAACAACTTTATATTTTTCCATAAAATCAACGAAGGTCCTCATTCGTAATTATATTATATTAATAATAATAAAAAATGAGCTAATCAATTCAAAAATAATAATTGCACATCCTTTCTAAATCAAAATTATCTATAGTAAAAAATGGAAGTGAAGAATAGAATATCTTTAAATCTTTTATTTAATTGCATACTGAACAAAGAGCCAACTATCACAAAGACATACGCGATTAATAATTAAAATAAAGAAAAGAGTTCGAAAGATTATGTCAATCACTCAAAAAAAATGATGTGTCTCTACGATTTAACAAAAAAAGATAATCATAGTCTCTATAATAAAGTCCATTAATAAAAGTTTCATTCTAAACACCTTTGTTAAAGAAAGTACATCGAAAATTTTAAAAAACACCATTTCCTAAACAATGAATATTAATTATGGCTTTGTATCATAAAATCATCAATCTAATTCCGTCTTATTTGTATAAGGTTTATTTCTTCCTATAAAAGTTGGGCTCTTGAAAAATAAGGTCTAATCAAATGATTTTATGTTCCATATCTTGGTTCAACTCCTTCTATTCATTTCTAACATTCATAACTAATAATCTTCTCACTAAAAACCCTCTCACTAATGCTTATATTTTAATAATATGATTATTATTATTATTCATATAATATTCAAATTATTTATTTTTATCCTCTTATATCACATGTAAACACTCGTAGATATTATAAATAATCAATTACACTTGCCAATAAAAATGGATCTTTCACCTATAAATCATAATTGTAAAATAATTATACTCCATCTAATTACATATTTGTATCTGGGAACATTTTTTCAGGATTATCCAAGAATTCCCAAAGCTTTCTTCTGGTCCAATAAAATTTATAAGCTGTTAAATCTTTTCCATAATTTGAAAACTTTTTTGATCCATTTCTTCTTAAATAAACTGTTCTCAAGGAAGGTCCTAAATTTAAATCTTGATCTCTTTATAAATTTAAGGTATAATACAGATCATGACAGCCTGCACAATTGTGATTAAAGTATATTCTTCCTTTTGTTAAATCTCCATTTGGAATCTCTATTTCTATTTCATTCTCATTTTTCACTTAACCTTTCCTTCTAAATTTTTAATTAGACTAACCACGTAATTCATATCCAACATCCCCATCATACATCTTTCTTGATCTCATTATAATTTAATGAGAATTTATTATTTCTAAAAATTGTTAATTTATATAAATATCTTATTTGATTATAATGGTAGCATATATTGAATTCTAAATCAATTCTGCTTATTTTTAAGAATTGTTAAAATTAAGTCTTATAAAAACAATCTTAACTATTCAATCCTATGATATAAAATTAAAAATGCATGAATTAATCAAATTAGTATTTCTAAAGGATCTGCTGACTCAAACGAATTTGTAAATTTAAAATAACAAAAAAATCATGTTTTAATTTCCAAATTCTTCTCTGTGCTCAATTTTACTTTTTAAGATTTTCAGGTTATATAACGTTATCCATTATAAACCCATTCTAACTGATAACATTATAAAAAATTTAAGAGAAAAAGGGCTCTTTTACATTCCCTTTCATGATAATAACTTAAATACATACATGAGCCTACTCAATTATTATTATTAAGTTGAGTTAAAATAAAACTATAGTCATCTAATTTAGGCTGAATCTAAATAAAAGGGTTGTAAAATAAAGAACACTAAAAATTATTTTAATCTTAAATTAATACTTTCAAAAATATTTATTATGTATTTATTAAAGGTTTTTTTTTGAAAGTATATTTGAGAAAGAAAGTGCCATTAAATCTATTATTAGATTAGCAGCTTTCAAGATAAAGAAATGGTTCAGCATTAAAACTAAATTTTTGATAGACACATCATAATTTGTAATTTTGACTCTATCGCAATTTTTAAAAGAATAATAAATTCTTATTTATACTGATATGGTATTGATGTTATTAAAACTTCGACTATTAATTATCTTTATTTTTAATAATGTAATATATAAACTCTAGTTGATATTAAAAAAAGAATAATTATGAAATAGGGGAATTGTATTTTAACAGGAGATAGATTAATTTATGATATAAGAATTTATAAGAGTTTACTTTATAACTTATTTATTCTTAAATAAAAAAAGAATTTAAAAGTCATATCTAATTATTTAAATTTGAAAGAAAATAATTTGTTATTATTTAGTAAGATTTATTGTGGAAAGTAAATAGATTTAATCTTAATAAATAAAAAAGATTTATACATAATAAAAATCAGAAAAAAAAAGTGAAGAATTGATTTAATTAGTATTTTTGTAGAATAAATATAATTATATATATAGTAAATGAAATAAGAAAATAATATAGAGAAAGAGGGTGATAAGAAATTTAAGAAAGGGAAAGACGCGTAAGTGTTTATATTAGATAATATTAGTTTGACTACAGGTGTGTTTTAGTGGAAGAAGGATTATAATTTAGGGGCAATGTAATTTGAGGAGGCAGCAAAGCTATATAAGGAATGCAAGAATAGCAAAAAGGAGAAGGATGCACTGAAATTTGCAATAGAGTGTAATGAGAATTTGAATGATACATGGGCTGTAGGTAGAAATTATGAAGCTCTGTTGAATTCTTTGATTGATAATTAAAGCGAAGATTATAAAGAGCTTGTAGAATGGACTTAGAAGGCAGGAATGTATTTCAAGGTTTCAGATTCAGGAATGAAATAGCTATAAGTTTTAAATAAAGTGGCAAAGTAAAGTGATAGATTTAAACTTTAGGTATTTAAATAAGAAACAACAATATGAGATGGCAGAAAAAGTGATTTTGGAAGCATTGACAGAGGCAGAAGATTAATAGGCTCCTTCAACTAGAACAGATATAATATGTTCATATGTGGAGATTTTGATAGAAACCAAATAATATCATAAAGTGGCTGATTTGTATATGAAGGAAATAACAAAGTTTAGAGAAGAGCATATGAAATACCCTTTAAATTAATATGCTTTAATTATTATTGTTATGTACATATTATAGGATGAGATAATAAGAGCCAATCAAGAATTAGAACAATTAATTATTGTGTATTAAAGAATTATATCATTTATAGAGTGTATAATTTTCATAAGTCCTCTGAATTTAAGGCAGTTGATTAAATGCTTAATTCCTATGAGAAAGGAGATTAGGATTAATTTAATGATGCCATTATGAAAACTTGTGTTACTTCGATATATCCTCCAAATGTAAATTTATATACTTATAAATTAGATTGTAAGAGCTTTAAGGAAGGTGAAGGTAAGAGTCATTAAAATACATCAAAAATAAAATATAAATTAATAGTAACTAGATTAAGGAAATGAAGAGGCAGACTATCAACAAGAGTTAGAAAAAAAAATCCTTTGATTATGAATATATAATCAAAATATATATAATAAGAGATATTAAGAATTCTCAATCTATTAATTCAAAAATTCATAAAATATAATATATTTAATGTAATTAGTAAGATTGACTACTAAAGCACAAACACCTAGAAATGTACCTTTGAGATCTCCTGAAAAAACCAATAACATAAATATTCAATTCCCAAATTATATATTCTTAGGTCCCATTGATAANCGTAATTCATATCCAACATCCCCATCATACATCTTTCTTGATCTCATTATAATTTAATGAGAATTTATTATTTCTAAAAATTGTTAATTTATATAAATATCTTATTTGATTATAATGGTAGCATATATTGAATTCTAAATCAATTCTGCTTATTTTTAAGAATTGTTAAAATTAAGTCTTATAAAAACAATCTTAACTATTCAATCCTATGATATAAAATTAAAAATGCATGAATTAATCAAATTAGTATTTCTAAAGGATCTGCTGACTCAAACGAATTTGTAAATTTAAAATAACAAAAAAATCATGTTTTAATTTCCAAATTCTTCTCTGTGCTCAATTTTACTTTTTAAGATTTTCAGGTTATATAACGTTATCCATTATAAACCCATTCTAACTGATAACATTATAAAAAATTTAAGAGAAAAAGGGCTCTTTTACATTCCCTTTCATGATAATAACTTAAATACATACATGAGCCTACTCAATTATTATTATTAAGTTGAGTTAAAATAAAACTATAGTCATCTAATTTAGGCTGAATCTAAATAAAAGGGTTGTAAAATAAAGAACACTAAAAATTATTTTAATCTTAAATTAATACTTTCAAAAATATTTATTATGTATTTATTAAAGGTTTTTTTTTGAAAGTATATTTGAGAAAGAAAGTGCCATTAAATCTATTATTAGATTAGCAGCTTTCAAGATAAAGAAATGGTTCAGCATTAAAACTAAATTTTTGATAGACACATCATAATTTGTAATTTTGACTCTATCGCAATTTTTAAAAGAATAATAAATTCTTATTTATACTGATATGGTATTGATGTTATTAAAACTTCGACTATTAATTATCTTTATTTTTAATAATGTAATATATAAACTCTAGTTGATATTAAAAAAAGAATAATTATGAAATAGGGGAATTGTATTTTAACAGGAGATAGATTAATTTATGATATAAGAATTTATAAGAGTTTACTTTATAACTTATTTATTCTTAAATAAAAAAAGAATTTAAAAGTCATATCTAATTATTTAAATTTGAAAGAAAATAATTTGTTATTATTTAGTAAGATTTATTGTGGAAAGTAAATAGATTTAATCTTAATAAATAAAAAAGATTTATACATAATAAAAATCAGAAAAAAAAAGTGAAGAATTGATTTAATTAGTATTTTTGTAGAATAAATATAATTATATATATAGTAAATGAAATAAGAAAATAATATAGAGAAAGAGGGTGATAAGAAATTTAAGAAAGGGAAAGACGCGTAAGTGTTTATATTAGATAATATTAGTTTGACTACAGGTGTGTTTTAGTGGAAGAAGGATTATAATTTAGGGGCAATGTAATTTGAGGAGGCAGCAAAGCTATATAAGGAATGCAAGAATAGCAAAAAGGAGAAGGATGCACTGAAATTTGCAATAGAGTGTAATGAGAATTTGAATGATACATGGGCTGTAGGTAGAAATTATGAAGCTCTGTTGAATTCTTTGATTGATAATTAAAGCGAAGATTATAAAGAGCTTGTAGAATGGACTTAGAAGGCAGGAATGTATTTCAAGGTTTCAGATTCAGGAATGAAATAGCTATAAGTTTTAAATAAAGTGGCAAAGTAAAGTGATAGATTTAAACTTTAGGTATTTAAATAAGAAACAACAATATGAGATGGCAGAAAAAGTGATTTTGGAAGCATTGACAGAGGCAGAAGATTAATAGGCTCCTTCAACTAGAACAGATATAATATGTTCATATGTGGAGATTTTGATAGAAACCAAATAATATCATAAAGTGGCTGATTTGTATATGAAGGAAATAACAAAGTTTAGAGAAGAGCATATGAAATACCCTTTAAATTAATATGCTTTAATTATTATTGTTATGTACATATTATAGGATGAGATAATAAGAGCCAATCAAGAATTAGAACAATTAATTATTGTGTATTAAAGAATTATATCATTTATAGAGTGTATAATTTTCATAAGTCCTCTGAATTTAAGGCAGTTGATTAAATGCTTAATTCCTATGAGAAAGGAGATTAGGATTAATTTAATGATGCCATTATGAAAACTTGTGTTACTTCGATATATCCTCCAAATGTAAATTTATATACTTATAAATTAGATTGTAAGAGCTTTAAGGAAGGTGAAGGTAAGAGTCATTAAAATACATCAAAAATAAAATATAAATTAATAGTAACTAGATTAAGGAAATGAAGAGGCAGACTATCAACAAGAGTTAGAAAAAAAAATCCTTTGATTATGAATATATAATCAAAATATATATAATAAGAGATATTAAGAATTCTCAATCTATTAATTCAAAAATTCATAAAATATAATATATTTAATGTAATTAGTAAGATTGACTACTAAAGCACAAACACCTAGAAATGTACCTTTGAGATCTCCTGAAAAAACCAATAACATAAATATTCAATTCCCAAATTATATATTCTTAGGTCCCATTGATAATATAAAAATAGTCAAATTCACAAAAAGCATTTCATCATCATCTATTAAAGAAATAAGATTAAAGTCTCCATGCAAAGATTAAAATAATAATCTTGTGAATAAAACTGACGGAATAAAGTCAAAACATCTAAAAACTACTAGTGTTTAAATAATAACATAAAGTCCTGATCTTTTTGTTAAATAGCAATCCCAAAATATTAATACAAATAGTAACATAACTGCATTGTAAACATTCTCAACCAAACATAAATATCATGGATCTGAATTGACTCAAGATACATGTAGTGAATAGCCAAGTATTCCTACTCTAACATTTCCAATCTTAAAATATGTTGAATTCTCTAGTAATCTTTTCTAAGGTCAGGGAATTAATAAATCAAATAAATTAAAAGCACAGATTTTATTTTAGAATGGTATGTTCTATGAAGGTGAAATTATCAAACTTTAAGATATTCTCTCACTAGATGGTTTAGGAACTCTCTATTCAGACAACTCTAAATTTTATACTGTCTATCAGGGAAGATGGAAAAACAATTCTTTCCATGGTAAGGGCAGATACTTTAACTAATATTAGATCGAATCTTCAAGTGATTGGCATTTCAATTGGAAGATGATCCAAAGTATAAATTTATTCTAAATTTTAGCAATATTCAGTAAAGGCGAGATTATTGAAGGCAAAATTGATTTCTATTTAACTGAAGATGTCATTGCTCATTAAATTGAATATTCAAAATGAAAATCATATGATTTCTTTACTAAATTGAATTATCATAAATTATCTAGTATTAATTACATCAGTCATTCTTCTACTATTGCACTCTTAATCAAATAATTACTTCTTTTTTACATTAATAGTTTATTAAATGATATTGTCCTATTCATCCATTAAAAGTCTCGAAGTTGCACTAAAAAATTTACTCATATTTTAAATTCTCACAATAATTCTAACAATTCTCAATATAATTACTCTTAAATAGATTAAGCTTTTTAAGTATTTAGAGCTGGATTTTTTATTACTATAACATCTACCAATAAAAAGAAACTAGATTTGTTAAAATACCTAATATAAACCAAGATTTATTAAAAATTGCAAATGATCATTTTCAATAATCTTCATTCAAGAAGTTTCCCTACTTCAGCCACAGCAAACCTAAAACCTTTATAGAATTTCCAATTTTTTATTAGGCATGATAAATTTATANTTGAGATCTCCTGAAAAAACCAATAACATAAATATTCAATTCCCAAATTATATATTCTTAGGTCCCATTGATAATATAAAAATAGTCAAATTCACAAAAAGCATTTCATCATCATCTATTAAAGAAATAAGATTAAAGTCTCCATGCAAAGATTAAAATAATAATCTTGTGAATAAAACTGACGGAATAAAGTCAAAACATCTAAAAACTACTAGTGTTTAAATAATAACATAAAGTCCTGATCTTTTTGTTAAATAGCAATCCCAAAATATTAATACAAATAGTAACATAACTGCATTGTAAACATTCTCAACCAAACATAAATATCATGGATCTGAATTGACTCAAGATACATGTAGTGAATAGCCAAGTATTCCTACTCTAACATTTCCAATCTTAAAATATGTTGAATTCTCTAGTAATCTTTTCTAAGGTCAGGGAATTAATAAATCAAATAAATTAAAAGCACAGATTTTATTTTAGAATGGTATGTTCTATGAAGGTGAAATTATCAAACTTTAAGATATTCTCTCACTAGATGGTTTAGGAACTCTCTATTCAGACAACTCTAAATTTTATACTGTCTATCAGGGAAGATGGAAAAACAATTCTTTCCATGGTAAGGGCAGATACTTTAACTAATATTAGATCGAATCTTCAAGTGATTGGCATTTCAATTGGAAGATGATCCAAAGTATAAATTTATTCTAAATTTTAGCAATATTCAGTAAAGGCGAGATTATTGAAGGCAAAATTGATTTCTATTTAACTGAAGATGTCATTGCTCATTAAATTGAATATTCAAAATGAAAATCATATGATTTCTTTACTAAATTGAATTATCATAAATTATCTAGTATTAATTACATCAGTCATTCTTCTACTATTGCACTCTTAATCAAATAATTACTTCTTTTTTACATTAATAGTTTATTAAATGATATTGTCCTATTCATCCATTAAAAGTCTCGAAGTTGCACTAAAAAATTTACTCATATTTTAAATTCTCACAATAATTCTAACAATTCTCAATATAATTACTCTTAAATAGATTAAGCTTTTTAAGTATTTAGAGCTGGATTTTTTATTACTATAACATCTACCAATAAAAAGAAACTAGATTTGTTAAAATACCTAATATAAACCAAGATTTATTAAAAATTGCAAATGATCATTTTCAATAATCTTCATTCAAGAAGTTTCCCTACTTCAGCCACAGCAAACCTAAAACCTTTATAGAATTTCCAATTTTTTATTAGGCATGATAAATTTATATTTTTTTTACAGTCATATATCAGTTTATTAATAAATAATATTAACATATTGTTTTAATAATTTTATAAATTTAGTATAGTTCCTTATATTCCATCCACATCAATTTAATATAAATTTTTAACAAATATAAAATTCTAAATTTTTGTAAAGTAGATTTTGATAGTTGTTGGGTCTAAAGCAAAAGAAATTAGACAAAGGAGATTGATTTTGAAATATATGAAAAAATAAATGAAATAATCTATTAAGTTTGATTGAATATAAATTATATAAATTTTCTGATTTAAATCAGTTGACAAATTTAGCACTAGGAGGTTTGTTTTATTAAGAGGCACCTTAAGCACCTTATTCAGCTGGTTTTAATATTTGGAATGAACACATTAAAGATTCATCAACAGTCATCATAGAACCTAAATAATTATATAATAATGGAATTACCAGCATTATCAAATTCGCCACAATAATTAGGTGCTGAGAAGAGAGTTACTAATTGTCGTTTACTAAAGAATTCATAGCCATCTTCTACAACCTAATAATTGATATTTAAATATTGAAAATACTTGATGTGCTCTACAAATAAGATCGAGTTCATGTTTTTTAAGAAAGACTTAAACGATTTCTTAACTAAAAACATAAGAAACACCTCTTTCATTATCTGCCCAACCTTAAACATCTTTATCAGGATCTGACCATAAAAGATCACAAAGTAATCCAGTATCTGGTACATCAGTTGGTCTCATTATTCTTCTAATTTATTCTAAATTAGATAATTCTGGTGATAATCCTCCATGCATACAAAGTATTTTTTCATCTATTAATGCAGCTACAGGTAAACAATTAAAACAATCAGTGAATGTTTTCCATAATTTAATTGTATATCTACGTTTACCTATATTAATATATATATGAATCTAGATTACATTCATCATAAAACCCATAAATTCGATTTATAGATGCGCATTCATGATTTCCTCTTAAAAGGAAAAAGTTTTCAGGATATTTGATTTTATATGCTAAAAGTAAACAAATAGTCTCTAATGATTGTTTTCCTCTGTCAACATAGTCTCCTAAAAAAAGATAATTGCTCTCTGGAGGATAACCACCATATTCAAATAGTCTCAACAAATCGAAATACTGTCCATGAACATCGCCTAAAATTATATTAAAACAAGCATTGCACCACATATTTTAAGAGGAGCTTCTAATTCTAATAATATTGGTTGACTGATGAAGATATCTCTTGCTTTAACACATAGACCACGAACTTCAGATTCAGTCAAATTCACATTCTTCCCAGGTTTACTTCCTCTTACACTAAGTAATCTCTCAATTATATTATCTACATCTATTTCCCCCTATTTATCCTTTGCCATCTATGTTATTTTCTTTAATTATTATTAAATATATATTATTACTCATCAATTTTTGTTATTTTTAAAATTTTCATTCCTTTTTTAACTTTAATATTATCCCTTTTTTTGTTTCATATTTTATAATACTCTATTTAAACATCTACTAATTAATCTAATAGATTTCAATATCATGTTATAATTTTATTTTCACTTTATCAATATACATTTATAATGCATTATAATTTTTATCCTAAATATTAGTTAAGAAAATAGTACTCTACATTTTCATTCAAGTAAAATTAATTATTATATCAAATGGAACTAATAAAAATTGAAGATAAATTTAATAACTATAAACAACACATTTTAGAGTTAGAAGACAATGTATATATAATTACAACTACTCTTGATTTTAAAGGACATGTACAGCTTTCCTAATTTGTCATCAATTACAAAACTAAAGAAGTGCTCTAAAAAAAGCAACTCAATATTTAGTTCAAAATGGCTTTATTTATATAAACTTCTATGGTTGGCTATTATACTATAAATGGTATATTAGGTTGTTTAATTGGAATTCATAATGGAAGGCTTTTTCAAATTAGAGATAATAAAATAGATGAAATTTGTATTAGTGCAATGGCAATCAATTAGATTGAATTAATATCAGACTCATTAGCATTGCTTAGTTCTGAGACTGGATAGATTAATTTATATGACATCTATACATAAAGTACCATCCTTTTGTTTAATGAGTATTTAAGTACACCTCTCAAGTATTTTCGAATTAGATATTTTTATGATACAATTGTTTAAGGTAAATAAGATGGTTAAATGACATATTTTATTTTCAATGACAATATGAAATAAATACTTGCATAAAGAGATAAAAATATTTAGATGGGTAAATTTGTGTAACATTAAAATATACTCATTTCTCAACCTAATTGTAGACTTTATGTTACAGGTCAGAAATTAATAGATTTTGAATTGTATGGAGATGTTTTGATTATTCTTGTTGAAAATCAAATTGAATATCTATTAGTTGATGTAAAAAATCAGGAATACATTCGATTAAGAGTGTTTTAAATAACTTAAAATATTAGTTCTTTTTAAGTTTGTAATGACTCTTTAATTTTATACAATGAAACAAGTGTATTTAGTATGGAAATGAATAAAGGAGAAATAAGAAATTAATTAGATCAAAAAGGAACATTTATGAATTTACTTACATATATAAAAGACAATAAAATTTTATATAAATGACAATCAATCAATTTGGACATTTTCTTTCTATTATGCTAAATCTCCCAGATTCTTAGTATTCATTCTTTCCTACCCAAAGAGATTAGAAAGAACTAAGTGATGCCAAAATTGATCCACCAATAAATACAGAATGATTACGATTTTACTAATAATGTTTAATCAATACTTACATTAGATGGATACATTACTAATTTTATTTTACACATTGGAGGTGCTAAAGCAGATAAAGTTGTTTATAATTTATTCAAATATCCCGGAATATTAGATGATCCTCCTGTTGATATTACAGTTGAACATAACTATTATTTCATATCATTAACAGAATTATTAATTATATCTAATAACATATGTTGAATTCCTTTGAAGTTTTCATTACTATTAAATAATTTATCTGCTATCTCAGAAAGTTAAGCTTATTACATTTAAACAAACTTTCCATCTGGTAATTCATATTGTTAAGTTTAATCAATTTACTCATATGTTAATAAACCCTATTTAATATCTCTCGCTAAACATGTTTTTTTAAATTGATTAAACTCTCCTGTAACAAATTATCTAAATGGTTCATTAAGTATTTCACCTCCTATTGGTGCTTAAATTTGAGTTTTTAATAATGTATATCCATCATGTACAGCAGATGCAGTAGTTGAATATGCTCCTATATCTAAAATCAAGGCTGTAGAACGACCTGCTGAAAATGTTGATAAAGCTGCATTTCTAATTGTGAAGAAATTTGGAATTTCTAGACTTTCAAATAAAATTTCCGCTACTTTCTATAAATCATGTTTAGTTTAGAAATTATTAGCAAGCAATAAACTATAATCCTTAGTTTAAACTCCAAGTTTGTCAAACATCTTTTTTAATAGATTTTCATATAAATCTGGATTAAATGGTTATAATATATCTAAGACCTGACCATTGCCATACCCTAATGCTTCATCTCCAAATTGAATATTTTCTGTACATTTTGTGAAAGTATTCCATCTTGGAAAGTCATCTCCTGTAAATCCAGCTCTTGTATAGAGATTACCAATATCAGCAACAACAGAAATTATTTCATCGCTATTCATTTAAAATTAAAATAAATAATATATGCTTAAAATACACGAATTCTTTTCTGTTGCCACCTAATTAGCATACAATGCAGCAATAATAATAAATCAAATTAGATTATCTCCCGATATTGGTTAGAAATAAAAAGGTATAGATGATCCTGTTACCATTGCTGATATTAAAGCTTAAACATACATCATATAATAACTCCATAAACATTGGTACATTCATTATAATATTCAAGGCCATAACTTAAAATAGTTGGAGAAGAATCTACTGTCTTTGAATAACCTATAGATTTACCTGATACTCATTGCAATCTTTACACAGAAGATATTTTCAATAAAACACCTAACAATCTTAAAGTTAAAAGCCAATATGAAATAGAAGACTTGTGTGTTTGGGTTGATCCTTTAGATGGAACTCTTGATTTTGTTTTAGGTTCATATGATTGTGTTACAACTTTAATTGGTCTATCATATAAACAATAAGCTTTAATTGGAATCATTTCTTAACCATTTGTCAAAATTTCAGATAATCAATATGAATTTAAACCTAAGATCTATTTTGGACATCATCCACAAAAAAGAATTTTTTATACATATGATACTCAATCATAAATTCCATTTGAACTTATAAAATCATCATATGATCCTTCCAATATTATTTTGTGTACATAAAATAAAAGAATAACAGAAGATAAATTATAAAAAATTAAATCTCTTGGTTGTCCTCTACTCTAAATGGGAGGATCAGGTAAAAAAAGTCTTACACTTTTGGAAGGCAAAGGAGATTTATTTATTTATCTTGGAGTTAAAATGAGTAAATGGGATATATGTGCACCTGATGCCTTATTTTAAGCTTTTGGAGTATTCAAATCTATTTAATTAGGGTCGTTTTGTAGGATTAGAAGGATAAATTTATAATTATAATCCAGAAGATAAAACTTTTGATAATCCATATGGTCTTTTAGCTAGTACTCACAATGAATTAGTTGATAAATTCTTACCAAAAACAACTGGAATGTTATGACCTCATTAAATATCAATAAACAATTATTTCTATCATAAAATATTAACTTTAATATCATTTTATTATTTAATTCTTTATATTCTCTTCATAAACTATATTTTTATATTTTCAATATATTAAATCTGAATCTATGTACAATATGTTATAATTCTCATTATCAAATATTTACATTAACTTTATTTAGCTTTAATTATATAATAATAATAAAAAAAGTATTTTAAAAAAAAGATTAACTAACTAAACTTCATATCCTTTCATGTTTAAATAAAGCAGTTAAAAACTAACAAAGATTTTAATATATTTATTTATAAAATAAAAAGACTAAGAGTTTCAATAAATAAAAAAAGTTTGAATGACAAAGTTTAATAATTGAATATAAATTTTATTAATTTATAACATATTTAATTTCAAATTTTATATTTGCATAACAATACCCATCTATGAGTGATTATCAGATAAAATACTAAGAAATTAAAGGAAGTCTAACTATCTTAATGTAATAAAATAACGCTCTCAAATAATAACTTAAGGAAGCTTGTGAGGAATTGTAAGAAAAACAATTATTAAAGGAAGAATGGGCTGAAGAAGTTTAAAGAGTTTCTGAAACAATACATTTATTGTAAAGTGAAAATGCTAGTATTAATTAATAATTGTATGTTAGATTTGTAATAAGAAAATGAACATTTAAATAGAAATTGCTAAGAATCCAAATACTTGATAGAACAATAAATTGAATAAATTACAATTTTAAAAGATTAGAATGACAAATTAATTGTTCAATTAGATTAATGCAGATAATAAAATTTATAAAAGGAATTACATATTAAATAATAACGAGATGATAATATAAAATAAATTGAATCATTATAGTAATAATAGTTTGAAGAAATAAAAAAATTATAGGGCATTATAGATAATCAGAGTGGTTTAATATAATCTTATGAGAAATTAAATGAGATTGAGAAACATGATTCATAATATAATAAATAATAAAATTAGATTATATTTGAAGATTAATATATAGAATTGAAGAATAGAAATATCATTCTTTAAAATAAAATTAATGAAGAGAAATAGAAATACGATTAATTATATGATTAACATAAAGATGAAGTTTAAAAATTATAAAGTGTAATCAAAGAATAAAAAGATTTATTAAATTAATATGAAAGAATAATAGAGAGAGATAAAAAATAAGCTTAATAATAAATAAATTTGAATAATACCCCTGTTTAGATGTAGTATGAGATAACACAAATACAATAGCCCTAATAAATTAAATAAGGACATTAAATTTAATAAATAAATTCAATTCCTTAATAAACCTTATATTCATAACCTAATTTAAATCAAAATGTTTACCAATAGACTTAAATATCACCTGTTCTTTACGATAAATGCAATTAACCATCTCCAACTTACTTATACACATAACCAAATTATTCATAACCTATATCATAAAGGCCACCAAAAACCTTCTTTACAAATAATAAGATAAATCATCAATTACAATAAATCACAAGAGATAGAGATAAATAAAACTCAAGGGAATATCATTAAAAACGTAGTTTTCATTTTGATGAGGAAGAGGATAGTAAAAGAGTAGAGAAAGAGTTCTAAGAAGAATTCTTAAATAAATTTTAGAATGTAATAGGCAGAATGGAAGATAAACTATATTAAATGCAAAATGAACTTAATATTTCTGGTATTTCAGATAAACCAAAAAATTTAAGATGACTTAAAACATTAATTTATATATTAATCATTATTATTAACATTATCATTTCAAATAATTTTTTAAAATCATAATTCTAACTTATTTGTACATTTTTCCATAAAATTTTCATAATTTCTTCTCAAAATTCAACAAAAATACAAGTTTTAACTTTTGATTTATCATTATGTTTTGAGCTTTTTGATGAACATAGATTGTTTCTTTTAAAAACACAAAATTTTTCATGTGAGATATAATTTCTTAAGATATGTTGTATTATTCAAAAGAACGTAGAGAAAATGAATTTAAATATAGATAAAATTATTAGATCAATCTAATAATTTAAACAATCATAAAAAAAGGTGTTTCATCTTTTAAGTTGTGTTTGGAGTTTAATTTTGTTATTTTAATTTGAATTGCAGAAAATTTCTTAGTCTGATTAGAAGAACAATTAGTAGAAGGAATGAAAGTTAAAAAAAATTAAGTAATATTAATATTTTTTTAAAAGAAAAAATCCAAAAAGATTTTAAATTATTCTATAGAAATAACTTGGGATATAGGATAGAATTAAAAATTTTAGAATGATAGTAGATAACTTGATTGATTTTATATACTAATAGATACAATGAAAGTTAAGGTGAAATGTAAAATAAAGATAAAAATAATCATTTCAGTTTATTTTTAATAAAAAATTTTTAAACTAAAAAGACATCTTCTTTACTTATATTGTTATTGTGTCCACATGAAACTGAAATCAATTCTCCCAACATATTTTTTTTGCTCAAATCTGAATCATTAGTATAACCAGTCATTTCTAGAGAGTAATCATTATTTGATTTGATCTTTTAGAATTTTTCTGAAATCATTCTGCATATGTCTCTTATGATTTTAATGTGTGTTCTAATCTAATGGATATAAATTATATAAATACTTAATTCCAATGAATATAATAATTTGAATGTTCCAAGAATTGTGTACAATTAACTTCAAAATTGCGAAAACATTTTTCAAACTCATTTTCATCTTATTAATCAAATGCAAAACAACTACCAAAAAAGAGTGCAACTTTTTCTGGATTTGCTTTTCTATGCATTACATCTAGTAAACTATTTCCACAATAATGAATTAAGGAGAAAAGGGAATATATTTATTAAAGTATAGGTTTAGCTGCATCTAATTCATCATCATTATTTTATAATTCTATATATTTTTAATTATTTTTAGTTTCAGATTTATCTTCAGCTTGATTTATTTTAATAGCTAAATTAATAATATATTAAAGGGATATACACATTTGTATAATATGTTTTTGAGGTATAATTTAAGAATAAAAGTAATTCAAATATTCTATAATAAATATTAAATATTTAATACATGTAGATTCTTAATTAAAATAAGAATGCTTGTATGAATAGTTAAGTGTTTAATCACTAAAATGACAACGAACAACTGCAGTTTATAATTAGGATTCATAAGGAAGTATTTCATCTTTAGGATCTTAGATAATTAATTTAGGTCCAAGGTAATTATAATAAGAGATATAATTAGGATGATCCCAACTTACAAGACAATTATAAATAAATCTAATAATTGATGAAGAGAACCTATTATTATTTATATTTCATATCATACATTGTAGCTGCAACTTAACCTAATGATGAAAAACTTCTATCCACAATTAAGAAAGAAAGCTTTAATTAATATGCTATTTCTGATGCAACCATTCCTCCAAGTGATTAACCATGAGTTCCTAATGTTTTGATATTGTATTTATTCTTAAAATATTCAGCTATAAAACGACCATCATCAATACAATTTTAAATTGAAATTCTACCTGTACTTTCTCCAAAACTTCTATAGTTCCATAAGATTACATTATATTTCATTTAATTATAAAATTTGAACCAATCACACTAAATTAAAAATATAGAAATACATCAAAGAACATATATTCATAATATCCAGCATTTGGATTGCAAAATAAAACTGTTGGTCCATTCTCATTATTCTTAATAAATAAACAATCCAAAGTGTCTTAAGACATCGTTTTCAGATTCAATCTCTCAATATTATTATTCTAAATTAAAATCTCAATTCTCCTTTATTATAAAGTGCAAAGGAATTCTGGCTCAAAGAATTTTTAAATAATACTCTTTTAAGACATTTGATACGCATAATGTTCAAGGAATATTTGTAATTATTTACAATAGGTAGTCATTCTCTACTTCTTTTCATTTGATAATTTATCGAGGGACTCATTCTTAGAGATTTGAATCAATTCATCATTTAAAAGTTTCAATAATGCAATGTATTTTATTTACTAATCACTCTTCGATTTCATTTCTGTTAAAGTTCTGTATTGTATATTCAAAAAATTTAATGCATTTTCAATAGCATACTAAGCATATTTATTACAATTCATAGAGTTTATAATCAATGTTAGTTACTACAAGGTTCTGCTAACAAAATATTCACTCAAATTCAATTAAGTAAATTTGTAATAAAGTTTTTTAAAAGATCCTGGAAATGTAATTAATGTACAGAACAATCGACCAAGGTAATATAAGCAGAGTAAAGTAATACTCATTGAGGTCACTCGACTCTCACTAATGATATAACATATCACATATATCAAAATACTGAGAGAGGATAAAGCTATTGAAACTATTGTCAAAATATTCATTAATTATATTTTGTGTTTTACATTAAACTAGTTTGTTTTTATAATTTATTATTATTTGAATTTTTTAAGAACCAAAAACCTTCATTCTATTAAAACTGTCTACTCTATAGAACCTAATCTATTATACATTATTTTAATATCTCTAGATCCTAGTAAATATTCTAAATATATTTTTTAAAATCCTTAATTCTAATTTCAATCACATAATTGTTATCTATCATTTATTTTGAATTTCTCAAAAATTTATAATATTTTTTTTCTCTTTAACAAATTCAATCTATATAAGTTGCTTTTAGTTTTTTTTTATTTTTTTTGTTTCGATTGAATGAATATAAAATAATTAGATAGAAAAACTTTTACCTAATATATTCCCAGATTAAAAAATTAATTAATAATAAATGAAATAAAAAAACCATAATTTTGCTGATGAACATCAACAATAAATCTTCCATATATTCTGATAAGAAAAAGTAAGGTATTTAATAATTTATGGTAGTTGATCATTATTATTAAAATTTATATAACAGCAGTTTCCACTTATCATTCAATCATTTACACTTTAATATTAAAACACTGCAAAAAATCATAAAAAATAAATTTAAAAAAAATCACAAATATTAAGACAATTAATCTTTTTTTAAAGGTTTGACTAATAAATCATCCATTCCAGCTGTGATACATGCTGCCTTTGTCTTTGGATCACCATCTTTTATTTGATATAATTATATTTACCTCCACTAAGACCTAGAATCTTACATCTAGGTAATCCTTTAGCTTTTTCATGAGCTCTAATTTATTTTGTAGACTAATAATTAATTTAAACTTAAACATCATATCCATCCATCACTGGCATATGAATATCCATAAGTATATGAGCGAAATCTGGTGATTTTTGATATGCTTCTAAAGCTTCCTTTCCATTAGCCACCACCATACATTCTACTTTAAGAGCACCATAAAGCATCTTTAATAAATTTTAAGCAAAGGGTTCATCATCAGCTACTAACACTTTCTTTCCTTCCATAATAAAATATTTTTATTAATCACAAATTTATCTCTTAACTCTCAGCTCTTAAATTTTTATTCTAGACTTATCAATTTTCTTGCCTTTTTCTAGATTAAAATTAAAATTAGAATTCCCTTTCCAATTTACTCGTTTTATTTTATATTCTTTCCTATTAGCAATTCTATCATCTGATATCAATATATAATAATAATTCATTTTTAGATTATCATTTAACCCTTGTGTCCTTCAAAATATAATAAAGATAATTATAGTTTCCTTAATTATCTTATTTTTAGACATATAAAGAATCAATATATACTAACATGAAATCATAAAATTTAAAATTAATAATAATTTAATTCTTTCTAGATTGAACTAATCACCTATTATTTAAATAATTGCAATAAATTATGTTTTGTAAAATAAATAGTATCAATATAAATTATATTAATTAATTGATTTGATAAATTATGCTCCTTTAGAAATCCTCTTTTATACTAA